GAGGCAAGGAGGGACCCTGGCGCGTGCAGGCACATCAAGGGGACCTGTGAGGTCACCCTGGCTGCCACACTGAGTGGTCTGCAGGGCAAGGACAGAGGCAGGGGATTCATTCGAAGGGGATCACAGCCATCAAGCCACAGATGATGAGGCTTGGCCCAGGAGTAGCGGTGGGAGTGGGGTCCAATCCTGGATCTGTCTGGAAGGTAGAGAACAGGAGTGGCTGACTGGATGGGTGCAGAGTGCGAGAGAAAGAGACATCGCCGATGAAGTCAAGGTTTTGAACAACGGGCAGGATGCAGGTGCCATTACCTGTGATGAGGGCAGGCAGGCCTGGGGGGAGGGGACAGAGTAAGAGGAGCTCAGTTTTGCAGAGCTAATCGAGGGAGGCCCATCGATGGAGATGTCAAGTGGGTAGATTCATCTGGAGCTCCTGAGGAAGGTCCGGGCGAGAGGTACAAAGTGCGGGGCATCTCCACACATATGTGTGTCAAAGCCCCGAGACTGGTGAGAGCCCCAGGGGCCAGCACAGAAGGAAAGGAGGCGAGGCCAGGCCCTGTGGGTCCCCGCCATTGCGGAGTCAGGCGGGGAGAGGGAACCAGCAGGGGACACGAAGAAGGGGCACCGAGTGGTGGCAGGCAGGTCTGGAGACAGGTGTCCTGGGGTGAGGGAAGCCAGGGTGTCGAGCGGAAGCCCCAGTGAGCAATTGCTGTGAGGGGCTGAAATGAGGTAAGGGCCACCCACTGGGCTCAGCTACCCCAAGGTCTCGGGTGGCCACACGGAGGTCAGCAGTGACCACGCAGAGAACCTCTCTGCGGAGGGAAGGTAAGAGCCGACAGAAGTGGTCCAGGAGAGAGCAGGGGGACGCACCCTTCATCAGGGAGGGGTTTTTCTTCACATTCAGTATTTTTATTAAATTTTTTAGCAAGTTATATATCTCCCCACCCTTTCTTTTAAGTTACTGTGGCAATTTTCTGTAACAGACTATTATAAGAGAAATTTTGGTTGAAAACCAAAAACAAATGAAGACCAACAAACAAACAAAATCCAATCGCTGCTGCTTTTTAAAAAAGACCAACATTTTCACCAATTATATTTGCACAAACCACAGTAACAACATTTGCTCGGCCAAGAGAGGGCTTTCATTATCCTGTTTTTTACGATGGGAGGAGCGAGAGCGTGCTTGCATGATGATTTACAGCCAAGTGGGCACAGGCAGCTCGGCCCCACTCGAAGCCGGTTTTCAGGCTGCATGTTCTGTGGGAGCGCAGCCACGCTGGCGTTGGGAGCTGTCTATAGCTGCTCTCCGCCGGCATCGTGGAGGTGAGTGGTTGTGACAGGGATCATATGGCTCTCGGGGCCTGAAACATTTCCTAGCTGGCCCTCTCCAGAAACCGTTCACTGACGAGTGTGTAAGTGACCAGTCCCAAAGAGGAAATGGGTGATGCAGGTGGGGGGAGACTTGCTGCCGAGGTGCCCTGGAGCAGGCGGAGGGGAAGACCCTCGAGCAGGTAGAGGTTGGCCTTCTCTGGGAACACAGATGGGCGTGCAAGAGGGGAGAAGGTAGAGTGCGGGCACAGGTGCAGTGGGTGGGTGCGCATGGTGGCAGGAGCCTCTGGGGGGCCTCTTCTTCTTGCTTCTGTTTTCTCAAGGTCATCAGGTGACAGTGACGTTGGAGACCGAGTGTTGGGCTTGGGGAGAGCAGGTGCAAGAACTACTAGGACAGGAAGATGAAGGAGCTAGGGAATCACAACACACTTGCTGTGCTTTCATCTGAGATAATGACCACATATTAAAGTGAGGCCAGCCCTGCCCGGTGCGGCTCCATGGGTTGGGTGCTGGCCTATGAACTGAAAGGTTTCTGGTTCGATTCCTGGTCAGGGCACATGCCTGGGTTGCGGGTTAGGTGCCTAGTTGAAGAGGCAACCAAGCGATGTTTCTCTCACACTGATGTTTCTCTCCTTCTCTTTCTCCCTCTCTTCCCCTCTTCCTAAAAGTAAATAAATAAAATCTTTAAAAAAAAGAAAAAGCGAAGCCAGTCAGCAAGGCTGTGTGCTCTCTCCAGCTTCATTTCGCTGCGTGAGTGCCTGCGTGGGGTCAGTGGAGACGTTCAGTCTGCTGGTGTTGTGGCTTAGCCAGGAGAACATGCTGAAGGGAAAGGGTGGCAGCCCAGGCTGTAGCCAGGAGAGTGATTATAATCACTGACCACAGAATCTGACTGGGCAAGGGGGGACATGAAACGTGGTGGGCAAGGGACAGTGGGACAGCAGAACCACCTGCAGACGGCCAGTCCTGCCGGCTGGAAGGAGCCCTGGGGTCGAGGTGTTGGAATGAGTGAGCTGCGGAAGAGGGTTCGTGGGTGGGGGTGAAGCCCAGGCTCTGGAAGGCGTGCAGTGATGTTGGGGTTTAATAAATATACACTGGGCACACCGAGAAAACACACCCACTCCCTGAATCAAGCCCGTGTCCTGTCTCTCTGCCAGACACCTCCTTCCCCTTTTGACAGGTGCTTCTAGCTCCCAGATCTGCCTTTCTACCCCTGGCTTCTTTCTTGAGCTCCAGAACCAAACGTGGCCCTGCCCACCTGGACTGCTTCACAGGGACAACCCTGAAACTCAGTTTGTCCCAAGCCAAACTTGCTGTCTTCCAATAAGCCTGCTTTTGCCCCTGTCCTGTCCCCAGAGGCCATCTGGGCTGCCCACAGCAGAGCCTGAACCATACCCTCTCCCCCTACCACGTCCATCCTGTGCCCTGTCCATTCTTCCTCCCGCATATCCTTCCCCTTATCTCCTCTCCACCCTGCTGCCATGCGTGACTCGGACTACCAGTGTCCCTCAGCTGGCTCAGGGACTGACAGACTCCAGCCTTCGGTCCCAGGCTTCCTCACCGGGGCCCAACCTGTGCTTGGCGTCCTGTCGTTGTTGAGTGAGTGACAACCCTACTGGCTGCAGCCTGTAGCCAGAACGCTGCAGACTCAGCTGGCCTTGGCTTGTCAGTCACTGAATGGCTTTGTCGCTTAGCAGACTTCTGTCCCACACCTGTTGTGTGCCAGGAACAGCCACAAATAAGTCCCTTATGGGCCCAAGGTTGTCGGTGGGAAGGAAGTAAACAGGTACAGTCCCCAGTAGAAAGTGGCATTGGTGAGCTGGGCACCGCGGGGCCTCTCACCAGACTTTGTCCTGGGTGGTCACTTGTGTGCCCCGAGGCCATTCTGCGAGCACCGCTGACGGAACCTCAATGTCCACCCACAATGTTTGTGTGCCAGTCTTCCTTCCTGAGTGAGGGGCTCTGCTTGGGGACATTCCTCCCTCCCTCCCCTTCCTGTCTGCTGTGACCCTCTGCCCCCTTCTGCCCTCAGAGTCCTCACCCTGTCTGTCACTGCGCTCTCTCTCCCAGGGACACTTGTGCACCCATTTCTCCAGCAGGGTGGGTTGGACTTTGCATCAAAAAGCCTGAGTTCTTGTCCCAGATCCACCAAATTAAATTTGCCTTGGAGTTAGGTTTTGTGAACAATAGGTGTGTGTCCCTGTATTAAAGCACCCAGCTCAGAGCCAGTACAGACCAGGGCTTAGCAGACGTGAGCCTGCTGAGAACCATCACGAAGCTTTCCTGCCGTCCTCTCCACCGCCAAGCCAGAGGTGACACCACATCCCACCACACCTCCCACTCGACTTCTTTTCACCTCTCTCACGACCCACCCTGAGTGGCAGAACCACACGGCAGTTAAGTGCTGGAGAAATGTTGATGGGGGACAGGTGGCATCCTAACCAGCCTCCATGTCAGAGACCACTAGACATTGTCAGCCAGGGCCAGCCGTAGTACAGGCCCCATGTGACCAGATCTTCCAGTTTTTCAAGAGATCAGAAGTGCAGTTGGGCATATAAAATCAGCCCCTTCAAAATACTGGCCACAAATTCAATGAAAAAGATAACTGTGGAAACCAATTAAAGTACATCTAAGGGCCAGTTTGGCCCTGGGGGCTACCAGCTTCTGGCTTCTGACCACTGCACTAGCTTCAGAGAATGTGGGTTTAAGTCCCAGCCTCCCTCCAACCAGCCTCCCTCCACTCCCTCCTCCCTCCACCCCTGACCTTGGCCAGGGCACAGTCTCCTGTCTGTGCCCCAGGTTCCTCACCTGTAACACGAGTGCAACTATAGCCAACATACACTGAGCGCCTTTTCTTTCTATGCATCAGCCTTTTCGACCCTCTCAGTGACTCAGTGAGGTAGAGACTGATCAGCTCGAGGTCTGAGAACTGTGTTTGAACCCGGGCTCTCTGGCCCCAGAGGCAGGCCTGTAACCTCCGAGTGGGTGTGGCGCAGCCCCGGAGGTTCTGAGGCCTGGGGCACCAGCAGCACCACACGGCTGGGCAGAGTAAGCCTCGGCAGGCACTGCTGCTCCTGGGCGTGTGCTTGTCCATTTACCACCATGGAAATGGCAGCTCTTTGAGGGCAGGAGGTGTCCCAGTCTACTTGTCACCATCTCTTTGGGGCCTTCCGCACTGGCTCAGTGATATGCAAGCTGCTGAGGAAGAGGTTTGATGAAGGGGCAGAGGACCTGCCCAACTCCACCCCCACCCCCTCTCAGACCTGGCTCCGTGAGGGACTCCAGGAGAACAGAAGTCACTGTCCCTGCCCTGGGATCCAACAGGAGCCCAGACCTAGTCAGAAAACAAAGAGCAGACAGTGGAGAAATCAGGTCTTTGTGCCCATGAGCGTGCAGTGCAGGAAGGCCACAACTGGTTTAAAGGGTCCTGTGATTGGGGGTAATTTCTTTAAGAGCACTCTGAAGACATCAGACAATGGGATTACCTAGATGGGACCTCTCTGTCTGCTTCTTATTACCCAGACATCCAGTGGCCAGTCTTTGATGCAGGAACAGTCCACCTGCCAGCCCTCAAATGGCCCCTCTGCCCCACACCCCACCACCACCGGCCTATAGATGATTTCCAGGCCTCGGCCCTAGGCCTTCCAGTGACTCCTCTCCTCTGTCTCCTTGTGCAGAAATGGAAGCTCCACTCTCGGAGACGCCGGGAGGCCCTGAAGACATCTCCAGGGTGTCATTGCCCACCAGGTAAGGAGCCCTGCGAATGGGTGACTAGGATGGGGACACCCACCAGAGGCCCTCTCCATGGTGGTGCTCTGGCCGCACCCTGCTCAGGGCATCACCTTTCACTTGAAAGATGGGAATGACAATATCTGTGATATTACCTTTTATCTACTCACTGATTGACCCACTTGTCCCCTATCCATCATTCATTCAAGCATTCATTCATTCATTCATAAACTTTTTTATGGGCCTTCACTATATGCACCAAGTTGTGAATTAGACAAGATAATGGGTGTGGCTATGTTTTGCAAATTCTGATGTATTATGCAGCATTGAAGAGAAGCCCAAGAGGCAGGGGCCAGGTTCATCACCATCACTATTGTGCCTCCAGCTTCTGACACATTGTAAGTGTACAAAGGTGTTTGTCACCAAAATGAATGAACTGCAAAACTTCCTCGCCCTTGCTAGGTGGCTTAGGGTGCTTGCGCGTATGGTATCTAGACTATTTGCACAAATGCCCCTTGCACACAAGTTCAAGGTTGAAAGGTGATGTGGTGTAACCAAGTTATCCAGTCCAATCAGATTCTGCCTCTGCCGTTAACTAGTCCTGTGTGGGCGGGTCCGGGTCCCCCCTGAGGGCACCTTTGTGGTGCTCTTTCCTCTGTGTCGCACGAGCTGCTCCTCGCCGGGTCTGTTCACCTTGTCGCCACTGTGTGCTGAGTGCCTGCTCTGTGCTGGGCACCGTGCTGCATGTTGGGTTCAATTTCATTGTCGACAGTTAACAATAATGATAAGTTAGTGGACTTTTCTAGGTTTCTGACCATTAATATTAAGGCATGAGAATAACAGATGAGCAAGTTTCATTGTCACCATGGTAGTTGGAATGGGCTATACTTTTGGGAGATGAAGAAGGAAGCACCCCCAAAAAAGGGTTGGGGGAGAAAATAATCATGTAATCACAGAGGATTCTGCCCTGCTGTGGACCTCTGCCAGCTCAGAGTGCGGCCCCTCAATACCTGCTGTGGGCAGGTGGCACTGGCAGGACACTAAGTGGGCTCTCTGGCAGGCCCTCCGTGGACATGGGAGCCGAGGGGCCCTAGTAGCCCTTGCCCGTGGTCCCCAAGACGGGGAAGAGAAGCCAACAGATGCTGAGCAGATGGGAAGTGGAGAGGCTGCATCTGCTGGAGCATGAGTGGACTGAGGTGGGAGTCACACTTCAGGGGGGCTGCCATGGGAGATGGTGACATCGAGATGGGATTCAGCTGGCCCCCATCAGAGGAAGGTCATCTGGGTTAATTAAAAAGGTGTCCAGAAGCCCTGGGAAGTCCCCTCCCTCACTTGGGGCCCAAGAGATTGAGCCTTGGGATCGGGCAAAGCTTTGGGGAGAAGAATGCCGGTTAATGAGATGAGATGAAGACAAGGGTGGTGGCAGGGCCTGGGCAGAGCGACCGCAGGGAGCGTCAGGGTTTCTGGGCAGCCCGCATTTCAGATCATCGTGTCTGTTGTCTCCGTAACTCTGGTCGATGGCCACTGGATTTTTGCCAGCAGTGTGCAGTGCTGCTGGAGAGCAGGAGATGTGGAGCCATGGAAGACAGGGGTTCGAGTTTCAGCTCTGGCATTTGCCAGCTGTGTGACCTCCAGAGAATTATCTAACCTCTCTCTGCCTCTGCTGCCTCGTGCGAAACGAGGGGATAACACCTATCCTACAGGTATATGGTGATGGTTCAGTGATATAATTTGGGGAAGTACTTAGCATCTTTCCTGATTCCCAGTAAGCACAATTATTTTTATCCCCTCAAATCCTCTTGCACTTTGAAGGTGCTCAGAAATCCTTACCAAGCATCATGTGTGAATGCTGGGGACAATGTGGGCTGCACCTCGGTGGCAAAGCAGACTCTTACTCTTCTCTCGTCCCTACCTGACTTGGGCTCCACATGCACCGCCCGCTGTCCAAGGGTGTGCCCCACCAATAGGCAGCAGCTTCGTGCTTGGGAGAGTCTGGCTCTGGAGGTCCTGGGAGGCTGGCAACAGGGCGGGGTGTGGCAGGAGGGAGGAAGGATTCGGAAGAGTGTGTCATCTCTCCTTACCTCCTGGGGGTCTGTGTGGGACTCAAGGCTCTTGGATGGGGAGCAGAAAGCCGTGAGCAGCTCAGAGGTGGTGGGGAGGAGGGACACATTGGGGTGAAGGGGCACAGCCGGGAGAGAGAAGGGCCTGATGCAGGTCCTCTGTGGGAGCGGCTGCCAGCAGGGGCTGAGCTGCACACGAGATGGGAGGAGAGAGAGCAGGGGCTTCTGGAAAGGGTGTCCAGGGTGTTAGAGGATTCCCCAGAAGGCAGTTTGGCCTGAAGTATAGATCAGAGCCAGGTAGTTAACACTGAGAGAATTTAAAGAGGAGACTCCAAATTGAGGCAAAATAGGAAGGAGACGAAAATGTCTTCCCAGCTTTCTGGAGCTGACAGAGAAGGACTGGAAGGGCTGCACAGGGGCGTCACAGACCACAGACCATGGAGTACATGCATCTGCGGGGATGGGCTGGGTCCTGCCCAGCCAGAGGCTTCTCAGCCTGCAGTGAAGTTGCCACCTTCGCACTGAAGCCTGTAGGCCATGTGGCTGTGCGCCTGTTATGCATAATAGCAGTTATTGCTGCTGCCCCTAATTGAGCACCTACTATGTGCTAGGCATAGCTCTGAGCACTGCACAGTGATGAATACGTTCTCCAAACAGGCAGAGTGGAGTCCTGACATCCTGAAATGTTGGCGAACCTCCACACTCCTGGGTGAAACACCACTCTCACTCTTCCGCCTGCATCATGCATCTTTGGGTATTTCCTCTGGGTCAAAGTTTATGAAGCACTTTAAAGCTCCCGATACTTGCAGAAGGATTTAGACAATTATGGAGTGCCCCATGCAGAGTCAAAACATTATTCTCTTTTGTCTCTCCAGCGTTTCACACTGTGCCCCCTATATAGTAGATGCTCAAGAAATGTCCCATAGTTGATCATCAAGAATCATTCCTGAGTGATTGGTTCTTTCTTGTGTTCTTCCTCACCCCTCTGGTTGGTTTCTGGCATGTCCCCCCACTTCACGACTGTTCTGAGTCTTGCCTGATGCTGAAGGCACAGCTGTCAGGACACAACAAATAACATACACTCTTTCTGCCTACTGTGGCCGCTGAGATTGGAGCCTCGAGCCCCAAACCCATGCCTGCCCCCAGTTTGCCTCTGAGGCTGGCTGGGCCGAGGTGGGAGTCCTGTGGTGGGTGTGTTCTTCCTTGTGGCCGCCTTGGGCCCTGGGCAGCATCCAAAGGGCTTGGGACACATAATCGTGGGCAGAAAACCCACCTCCTTCCCTTCCTTCTCTAACCTTGCCAGCATCCTCCCAGGATCCTCCCTGTCCCAAAATAGCCATGTACTGGCTGAAATCTGGCTGTATCCTGCTTCTGAGCTGCATGCACTGTTCACCAGAGGAGCGATGGGCCTGCAGGCCAGGGACGGGATGCCAAAGGTCGGGCCTTGTTAGGAGGGTCACGGTGGCCAGAAGTTCAGAGGAATAGGTGTGGGCAGTTTGTAAAGCATATGGCCTGGAGGGACAGGAGAAGGGCTCTGGGAAAAGATATACAGACCGTGGGACTTCCTAGGCCACTTGAAAAGAACACAAAGATCAGGGAAACTCTCCCATTCTCTTTCCCTGTTCTTACTAACAAATGAGGAGCAGGACAATATAGGCTCTGGTCAGCAAGGAAATAGCTACTTCAGGCCCGCCACGCCGGGACTGGGTGGGTTGGGCAGGGTGAGGGATGGCCCACGGTTATGCACACGGAGGGAGCCAGGACCGGCGGAGCTGCTAGAGCAGAGTGCTTCACACTCTGGGTTTCATCTCCAAGGGGGAGAGTAGGTCAGGGTCACAGAATGACCACCAGGCCAGGAGGCTGGATGACAGTAGCGGGGTAAGGGTCATGGTGGCCCAGTCTGTGCATTAGTACCGTTACCAGCTCTGACATAGAGGATGGAGGAGGGGAGAGAAGTGGCCTCCAGCCAGGCTAGTGGGAGAGGCCATGGCCACCCCCTGGCTGAGGGTGAGCTAATGTGAGGTGCACATGAAGTGCCAGGGGTTCCAGAGGAACTTGGGACTCTGGGAAAACTTCACTGAGGAGGTGGCACTGGAGGCTGGCAGTCAGGAAGGAGGAAGCAGGCAGGGGCATAGAGTTAGGGTACAGACAGAGCTGCCACCATAACAATAGGCTCCATATACAGGGATTCCAACAAGGGAGACAGGCGGTCTCTTCCTTAGGCTGCAGACAGATGGTCCAGGGACAGGAGGGTGGCTCTACCATTGTCATCTGGTGGCTTTCATCTCTGGGCTCCTGTTAGCTCCTCACTTGCACTGTCCCCTGGCCAGCATGAGAAAAAGAAGGGGCCCAGGAAAGTACCTGCTTAAACCCTTAAGAGCAAAACTGGAAGAAAAATAACCCGACATACATTACTTCTCATATCCCATTGGCCAGTACTTAGTCGCATGGTTACCGCCCAGGTCCAAGGGCTGCCAGGCAGTGTTTTTGGCTGGGTGGCCATATGCCCAGTTGCAACTTTATTACTGTGCAAAGTGGGAGAGCAGGGGCCAGGGAGCAGTTTGCACAGCGGGGTTCCAGGCTGGGCACCTGCACAGACAAAGGCTCCAAGAGTGAGAAAAGGGCAGGTCTACTGGGGAATGGCAGGCCGCTGGAGGAAGCTGGAGCACAGAAGCAGTGATGGGAAGTAAAAGTGGGAAAGGACAGCAGAGGGCCAGAATCTCCATTCCAAGGGAAGCAGAGGGTTTTCACCCTGAGAATGAATGATTGGCAATGGTGGCCCGATGGGCTGCACTGAGTTCCATTCTGAGACTGCATCCCAGGGCAGCAAAAAAGGTGGCGACCACCTAGTGCTGTCTGACGTGGGTGCCTCGTGATGGGCAGTGATGCCTGGGCCCTGGTTTTCTTATTCCACAGGAGATGATGTTGCACCAGAGAAGGTTCATGGAGTGGGGATGG